GCTATTCAATCTGCGCCATCCGTGCGTGATTTAATCTGGGCCGTCCATGTGCGATTCAAGCTTGGCCGTCCGTGTGCGATCTCAATCTGGGCCGTCCGTGCGCACGGAAACTAACCTCAGCCGTTCGATCGCGTGCACGTGGATCGCCCACGTGCCCCCTCCCACACCCCACCGTGTGGCCTCCTGCGTTAGTGCCTCTGCCACCTGGTGCGTCTTGCTTGGTCGGGGCTGCTGATTGGGCATCTGACGTGGTGTAATTTTTTTAAATTGTGTTTTAACCCCTATTTTTTGATTTCTTCTTTAAAAATATCCACATAACCTAAATTTTTATCCATTTTCACCAAATTGTTTTTAATTTCACCCCCCATCTATTTTTCTTCATTTTTATACAAAATAAATTAAAAAATTACTTTTATTAATTTTAATTTTAATTTATTTTGGGGTGTTACACAAAGTACATAGAAAAATATAGTTATAATGTTACATGTAATTTTATTATATCATAATTTAAATCACAACGATATTCGAGTAAAATATTAGTTTAAATATTAAAAGTTTTAAAAAAGTTCAATTCATATGTTTTAAAGAAAACAACATACTATTAGGAAAAAATAATGTTCAGTTAGGATAATTTTTTTTATAGTTAACTATCATTTTAAGGGAACTAATAAGCTAATTCTAATAATTCCTAACTTAATAGAAGATAACCAAATATATATATATATATATATATATATGAGAGTGAAAAAGAGCTTTTAGTTATTTCTTTCCAAATTTATACAGTTCATAAAATAAATCATAGAAAAATTAAATAAAATTATTACATTGTAATTATTTTTAAAGACCCAGATATAGTATTCTAATTAATTATAATTTATAAAACAAAATTCAATATGTACATAAATAAAATTGAAAAATCAAGAAAATTAATAAGTAGCCATTTATGCCGAATATATGTTCTTAAGTAGATACAGCTTGTTTGCAATTAAAAGGTTTTGTTTTTTTTGAACATAAAATTAAAATCTAGAAGCTATATATATATATAATTAAGAAATTAACTAAAAGGCATATAAATTTAATTAATTAATTCGTAAAATGCATCGGCATCACTATTCATGTATTAAATATAAGGATTAATACTATGCCTGCATTACTAATTACAAAGTGATTGACCGAAAATGTAAGTAGTTATCAGGTGATTAGGCATCCTTAGAAAGTGTGCAAAGTTATCATTTTTTAGGATTAGTCATTAATTTAACCTCCACAAATGATTAATTTTATACAATATCTTTAACTTTTGGACATAGTCATATAATATCAATGTATAAGGGGTAATACGTAATTAAATTTTTAATTATGTAAGATCCAAATTTATTTATTTGTGCAATATATTAAACAAGATGCAAACTACTGATTCATTTCACTAATTAGATGTTATCAAAGGAGGGCGTAAGAACAAAGCACTCGTCTTTATGTAATTATTTGAGAATATTATATGCATATCTATATAACTAATATTTATCTCTGGATTATTGGGAAACTTTTATTGATAATATATAGATAGGAATGGTAGGTTAGTAAGGCTTCTGGCCAATAAAGTTGCCTGGAGGATCATAGTTGCAAGTGATGAAAGTTCCACCATTGTTGCACGTCACTTTTGCACACCCTAAACGAACCGAGTTTTTCCACACAACTTGAGTATAATGCCCACAAACTTTTCCAGGAGCGCATGTATTTGAATTATAATCATAATTAGCTTTCTCCGCAACCCACATGTTGACAGCGTCCATGCCGGACAAGTTGGCGCTGCCCCATGCAATGTTCTCGCCGTAAGGACCACCGGAGTGTCGCAAAGCGCAGTCAGCTTTGCGTTGGTTGGCGTAGTTCTGCGCGATGCCGGCGACAGTGGTGTCCCAAGTGAGAGGCGGAAGAGCAGCGCTGACGGCTGCACGAGCTGCGTTATGGGCGCTCAGGAAATCTTGGGGGGAGTCCTGTGCATGGCTGCCTAACACCATGCACGAGATCAAAGCAATTGCTACTGCTACTGAAACTTTAACCTTCATCATCTTTTTCTTTTTGATTTGAGTTAACTGATTTGATGAGGCGTTTTAACTTGAAGGGGTATTTATAGAGGAAATTAGTATGTGATTTTGATTTGAGTTTGAGAGTTGAATGTTCAAAACAATGCATGCAATGCAGGTCACGGGGGTTGGAAAATTCTTCAGTTTTAATTTATTTGAAAAAGTAATTAATTTGTTTTTGTTTTCCAATTTTTTTTTTTTTTTTAAAAAAAGATATATAAGATTAGGAGGAAAGTAAAGACTTTATGGGTAAGCTTACTTTAGAAAAGGTTAATTTCTTCTATACCAAGTAAAAACTTGCATTGAATTAAACGTTGATTTCCAAACATGGCGTTAATTATTATTGTAATAATTAATTAAATGTAAATGACTTCTAAACTTGCCCCTTGACTTAAGGAGGAAAGAAAACGAAGAACATGCATGTTGCTTATATATATATATATATATTTCTAGGAGAGAGCAATTAGCGCAATAAATCTCTTCAGGTCTGATAATATTAGAGTATTTAATGCTTATTATATACACACACATATATATATCTGTGTGTGTGACGGGATTGAGATACAATCTAAATAATGAATTCTTCTGACACGATGCATGTAGTGCTTTATAATAATCATAATACAGAATCGAAGAGGGATTTATTAATTCCCCTAATTAATGTGTTGTGTCCATTTGTAAAGCTCAGTCAGTAATTAAAATTTAATTAAGGGAATGTTGGAGCATAAAAATACGATATCCGATTAATTAATTACCTTGACTTGAAACATTTTCCACGCTTAACCCTCAAACTAGACTAGTATATGATACTCATCTTCCTAATTAAGCCAAATTCATGACTAATTCAATGTTAATTTTCTTTTTATAAACTAAAATATAATACTAAATGTATATATATATATATATATATGTTTATACAGAAATTAAAGATAATAAAAGCCAGGAAGACACGTCAATCAAGTAAAATAAGATAACGACGAAGACCATACATAGCTAGCCATCCTCATGTTCTTTCGTTTTCTGAACCCAAGATAATTTGATTCGTTCATACCAAACAAACTTGAATTAAATTAAATTGCGTATTACAAGTAAATTGCATGTAACCTTCTACTTCTCCGGTCAAATTAAGCAGAAGCTGCGTTTTTGTTTGAACACGTTTTTAGGTTTAAAGTGCAGTGTATGGTCGCGGAGAGAAGGGGATAAGATCCCTAATTAGTTTATCGATAATCACCGCAAGTTATATAAGCGTTTATATATGCTGTTATTTCATTCAACCTTTTATAAATTTTTTTTTTAATTTAAATTAAACTAAGTAGAATTTTTGAAGATTATTGGATTAAATTAATTTTTTTAACGAATTTTAAATTGTAATTTTGGAATCTAATTTTTATTTAACTAAAATAATTCCGCTAGAAATTTATAACAATGAAAAAGATATATAATTATATTTATATTAAAAAATTATGCATATATTTATTAATATATGCATAATATGTTATATTTATATACGTTAATAAAACTAAATAAATATATATATACACATAGAGGATCGAGTTTCAATGAGTTTCGTAGGATCAAACCTGACCTCGTCCTTTTTTTCCCATTAACCCAAATCCAACTCAATCTAAATCCACATTTTAATTTTAAAAAAAAAAATACACACCGAGGTTATTAGTCTTTGTCCTTTTTTTAAAAAATACATTTTTTGTTAATGTTGAACTATTATAATTTATCTTGGTCTTTGGAAATTATATTTTTCTTACCAAGAAAAAGACAATTATGAAAAAAAAAAGTGCTTATGTTATCTCATTTTCTTACTTTGACCATTCAAATTTGTAAGTGATCTCATTTCTTAGTTAATTTATTAGTTTTTTTTTTATTAAGAGCAGAGTTCTTCTTGTAATTGAATATTGTAAAGGTTCGAAATCTTAAGAAAATAAATATATATTAAAATAATAGAAATAAACAATAATTAGGGTTTACATTCTTTACATAATAAATTAAAATGTTTAGTTAATTTATTAATTTTTTTTTATTGATAGCAGAGTTCTTATTGTAATCGAACATTATAAAGACTCGAGCCTTTAAGAAAATAAATATATATTAAAATAATAAAAATAAATAATAATTAAAATTTGTATTATTTACACAATAAATTATAATGCTCAATAGAATTATAGAATTATTATTTTATTACAACAATATAAATATAATTATATTTATATTAAAAAATTTAAATATATTTATTAATATATGCATAATATGTTATATTTATATATATTAATAAAAATAAATATATATATACACACACACATAGAGGATTGAGTTTCAGTGACTTTTGGAGGATCAAACTTGACCTCATTCTTTTTTCCCCATTAATCCAAACTCAACTCAATCTAAATCCACACTTTAATTTTGAAAAAAAAAAAAAAAATCGGGATTATTAGTCTTTATCCCTTTTTAAAAAAACACATTTTTTGTTAATGTTGAACTATTATAGTTTGTCGTGGTTTTTGGAAATTATGCTTTTCTTACCAAGAAAAAGACAATTATGAAAAAAAAAGTGATCATGTTATCTCATTTTCTTAGTTTGATCGTTTAAGTTTGTAAGTCATCTCATTTTCTTAGTTAATTTATTAATATTTTTTTTATTGATAGCAGAGTTCTTGTTGTAATCGAACATTATAAAGACTCGAGACTTTAAGAAAATAAATATATATTAAAATAATAAAAATAAATAATAATTAAGATTTACATTATTTACACAATAAATTATAATACTCAATAGGGTTATAGAAATATCCCAAAATTATTAATTAATTTTTTTATACTATACTGAATTTACTGATTATTTGACTTAAATTTTATCTCATTATTTTATTACAATAATATAAATATAATTATATTTATATTAAAAAATTTAAATATATTTATTAATATATGCATAATATGTTATATTTATATATTAAAAAAATAAATAAATATATATATACATATAGAGGATCGAGTTTCAATGAGTTTTGGAGGATCAAACTTGACCTCATCCTTTTTTTCCCCATTAATCCGAACCCAACTCAATTTAAATCCAAACTTTAATTTTTTTTTAAAAACACATCGAGATTATTAGTTTTTGTCTTTTTAAAAAAAATACATTTTTTTGTTAATATTAAACCATTATGATTTGTCGTGGTCTTTGGAAATTATGTTTTTCTTACCAAGAAAAAGACAATTATGAAAAACAAAGTGATAATGTTATCTCGTTATCTTAGTTTGATCATTTAAATTTGTAAGTCATCTCATTTTCTCAGTTAATTTATTAGTATTTTTTATTTATTAAGAACAGAATTCTTGTTATAATTGAGTAAAAAAAATCTATGATATATTACCTACAAATGGATATTAGCACCCTTAGAATCAAAGGCTCTTTGGTGAAATTCATGGGATATATACTTCAAATATTCTTTTACTAATTAAAAAGTCTAAATAATTATCTGTATTTCGTAATATCTATGTGAAAAACCTTTTACACCCAAATATATATAATTAATAAAAATAAAATAGCTATTTAATACAAAATGTAAATAAATAAATTTGAACATGTTAAAAAAAACTGAGGACCCATTTATGCAAATGTATATTCTTAATTGATCGAGTATGAGTTCCAAAGAAGTGGATTGATATCAAGTTCTGCACAGACAATGTTGTGGACGTCAAGAAAATATTGCGGCGAGTCTTGGGCGCGAGAGAAAAGAACATGTTGCCAAAAGCAATGCAACCCACAAAACATAGATACAACTACATGATCTTTGATTGCCTAATTTTACATATATATATATATATTTCAAAATACTGTTGATTTATATAGATGATTGGCTACTTTTAATAAATGGATACTTAAAGTGATTCATTGCTTAATTAAATTTATAAATTTAGTGTTCAAGATTGAAATACTTTATTGTTTAAACTCTATTTAAATGTATCACAATGAAAGATAGTAGTACTACACGTACATTGCTAATTGCTAAGTAACTTTTAGGTAATTACTAAAAAAGAGAAGTAATTATTACGAGACAAGGCATCTACGAAAAATATAAGAGTCGTGGTTTTTAGGATTAAGGAGATTTGGTCTGATCAATACAAAATATATAATATCCTAACTTTGATAGGATGTGAACGTATGATGTGTCATCTTAAATTTTTTTGATTATATAAGGCTTGAAAGGGAGAAAAAGGCCCACGACAGTAAACAAAGGTGGGAGGAGATTAACGA